TTTTTGATCATGTCTTTGACTGCAAATAAAGTCCAAACACTGCCTCGACATAAAGCGTTTATGACAAGCTAGACAAAGAGTTTAAAAATCCTAAGAACTTTTATTTGTAATGATTTTTGGTGATCCGCAGTTTGAGAAGTACGTTTGGTTAACTTTGCCTGGGACTTAACAAAGTTTTGAGGCGAAAAATTTAGATGAACAACCTAGTGGCATAATAGAAATTTTACTTTGTAGCTTTCTGTACAATGCTGTTAAGGAACTTCTGCTTAATTAACATAAAAAAGAGTAGGGATTAAACTTTATTGATGGTTTAAGCTGATACCTCAAATCAACTACAAGCCAAAATTTTATGGTTCCATTTTTTGTTTACCAAAACTGGGAACCGAAGTGCTGTATTAAACAGTGTATCTTTTAAGTAGAGGTTAACTTTACAGCTGTGCTCGCTCACTACAGTGAATCCTTCTTACAGAGGAAAGTATAGGCTTTTTATACTTCAATTTCCTTTTCACTGGTTACCCAAATAGCTTAACTTTGGTTGCTGAAACAGTTATAAAAAACGGCACGATAAGCTTGTCAGAGAATGATTATTTATTTGTGAAGTAAAATACGATTCTTAGCACAGCACACAACTGCCCAAACATTCTCTTTTTGTCACTTTCATAAAAAGCAGTAAATTCTTTTGGTCGCTGAAAGTTCGCCAAATTTTTTGATATATTTGCGCTTATCAGAAAAAAATTTTTTGTCTTTTTTCTATGGTTAAAATAAACTAGGAATTTTCAGTGCATATTTACTGTATTTGATGGCTGTGTCTTTAAATGATTAAACTTCTGTCGCTATCAATTTTTTCGTAATTTGAATTAGCAAAACACAGTTTGCTATCGAATCAAAAATTGCACAAATCAATAAATTACCAAGAAAAAATTATCGTTTACTTCTATTGACAGTTTTTTAGATGGTATTTATAGATTTTTTTAAAGGTATTGATAAAACTAATGATAAACCGTGTGGACTACGTATAGTGATAATTTTGACGTTATTAGTGCTGTAGTAAGACTGCAAAAACTTTTGCATGATTTTACAACATTCGTTCAAAGAAGCAGGAAGACATACAAGTCACTTTTGAACGTTATTATTCTCTTTTAAATTATTACTCTTTATTAGATTGTTTTCCTTTTGGCTATAAAATAACGTTTTTCTACTTTTAAAACATTGATGCTGGTTTTGCTGTAAAATCATAATCAGTTATTAAAATCTTTACTTTTATGTGCTATAAATTGTTAATTAAAAGTGCATGAGTGCATGTCATAAGTTATGAGCTCACAATATGCATATACTTCTGAAGCATCACTAAAACGATAAAATATTTTTTTCACCGATCTTACAGTGGCGCTCTTGTCTTTCAGCGCTTATAAGGCCAATAAATACTAATTATAAATTGTTTGAGCGAGAGCTGTGATCATTAAAATATCCACTTAAGCTTCACTGAGGTGTTCTCTTCAGTTGCTCGGTATTAAGCAAAAAGATGAAATTGAATTAAGGTACTAAGTAACTAGCATCCCATGTAAGCAGAATAGATAACTAGGGTTCACAAAACATCATTGTACAAGTGATGTCTGTCAGGAAATATTTAAAATGAAAAGCCCTTGAAGAGATTGGTTAATCCTTTGGTCTATAAAATTCAAGAAAGCCTCATTTATTTGTGAGACGAAGAAAATAATAAGGATGATTTATTCATCCTTTTATTTACGACAAATGAACATACGACAATATACTGTGATTACTGTTCTTTGAAATAGCCATTACCAGTGTGACCTTGGTAGTGTAGAAATGCAGCTTTTTGTTATAAAAAGTGTTCATTTTTTGTCTTATTGTCACGTTTGAAAACGAGATGTTTATGTAACATCAGGATTAAAACTTCAAGCTAAATTTTATTTACTTGCTTAGAGTCGTTTTATAGACTCCTGGATATGGCATCCAAAGAGAGTGAAACAAGCAGCATCAGTAGTAAGAGCTCATCTTCCAAAACCAGTGACGACAGTCAAGATGAAGCGACTAGTTCCGAAAACAGCTCTCAAAGCTCTGAAAACACCGATTCTTCTACGGAAACTTCAAACGCTAGCGTAACAGTTGCAGCCGTTTAAAAACTAAAAACTCTTTGCTCAGTTCAGAGCTATTTATTTCTAACAAATTTTATTCCTTATCATGGCATAGTTTTGAACGAGTGAGCTTAAGTAACATTCTGGTGTAAATAAGGAATATTTACTAGTAAGCTTTAGATAGATGAAGAACGATCGCAGGCAGAAACCCGGTCGTTTATTGCCCCGGATGAAGGTAGAGTCTTGGGCGTTCTTGTCTATGTTCTGCACTCACATTTCCCAACTCAACGCTTAATTAGTTCCCTGCAGATATGTAACCAACGCTTAACAACTGGTCCTTCTTTTCCTAAACAGCATAAATTATCGTTCGTATTTATAAGGTCCCGATACTGCTCTGCCGCGCTCACTGGTCCTTCCAATAACTCAGAAACCTCCGATCGCTCCGAAACCTGTAATAGATAAGGAACCTCCGACAGCACAACCTTCGACAACTCAGAAACCCCCGATCGCTCCGAAACCTCCTGTAACAGCTAAAGAACCTCAAACAGTAGTGCTTTCGATACCGCAGAATCCCCCAACAGATCAAGGGCCTTTGGCAAACCAAAAGTCTTTGAATGATGGAAGTGTTGTTTCGAGTTCTACGAGTTCTTCCAGTTCTGTAGGCAGTCTTCATCCTTACGACAAGTGAGTTTATCAGGCATAGTCGTAATTTTCTCGTCAGTGTCGATGTGTTGCAAAACAGTTCTTTTTTGCAGAGGGAAACTTTTTTACAAATGCGACGTTGTTTTGGCATTAATAGTGCTTCTTTGTAATATAGTTTTTTTTTGGGAAGGGATACGGGGAGGAAATAGTGGATTACTGGTGCTAGGATATTAACTAATGTTTTTTGTTATCCTGCTTTTTTGGAGAGGAGGGAGCAGGAGAAAGGCTGTCTCTAGATAAAAGAATTTTTTTCCAGGGTTTGACGCCTGCACACATGTACTTGATGCGGAGTTGCCAAACTTTATCTTATCAAAATTGTTGGCAAAATTGTCATAAAAAAAGCTAATTTTGACATTAAGAACCTAAAATTACTATGTATGTTGTTTAAAATAATCACCTAGGAACAGTCACTGTTACTGAAGAGTTCAGGAAAACATCATGTAGCAAGATTTGTGTAGAAGGCAAGTGTAACATTATAAATAGATGCGGATTTCGGTGGTGAAATGTGTCCTGTTGCGATTGTCTAATTTGAGATTGGTCCACTGAAAAACCAAGTTTTTTCAATATTACCTTTAATAGTTTCTTTAGGTATTACTAATTGAAAGACAGCTTATTTGCTAACCACGCCTTTCATTGTTTTATTGTTCTTTACAATCTTGCCGGAATGTTCTACCAGCTACATTCACGTCTCGTTTATGATAAATTTGAATCAAGATATTAGGGTACTGTACAGCAGTTAGATTGGTTAAATGAAAAAAGAACTTTTGAAAAAATCAAATTTGTGTTTGTGTAAAATTTCTCTCCAAGAGACAAACAGCTAAAATTAATTTGTAGTTTTTGTACCATAAAGTACCATCAGCAAACTGTGGAGCACATCATAAAATTTTACAGCTTTCACAAGGCCATATGTTTTTCAGCTTCAAACATTTTATTGTTCCTTTGCAAAGTGAATGATAATAAAGCTTGTAATGTGTGACTCATCTAGGAATTTGTCAGACGCTAAGCTGAGACGTCACATCTAGTCTTGTTGACGAAATTTCTAAATTTACCAAACTTTCAAGAATTCTTTTCTAGTCACATCTGTTTCACCGGTCTTTTTTCTTTTGTGGTTACCTCTTCAGTAAGCTTTACCATTTGGCCATTTTTTCTTATCTTTCAGACTTAAATAAGCACAGCATCCATTTTAGTTTTTATATCTTACTCTGCCGCTTGATTACAAACCATTATGATTCTTTTCTTTTAAACTTTATTGTTAGATTTTATCAAATGAGTTGATGATGGATGGCAATGGATAGTATAATAGTTATCCTATAATTACTTTTTGTAGAAGCATTGGGCTAAGTGACTTTTGATGTAGTGTACTTCTACATTTATTCTGTTTTGTCTGTATGCTCAAAGTATTTTTTATAGGGTACATAGAGTCGATAATAACAGGGAGATTATTAGCAATAACTCTATAAAAAAAGCAATTATTGAGTAATTCAGTACTTTTTCTTTTTTTTACTGCCGACAATAATTGCTGTCTGCTTCTCAAGCAATTCATCATAATTATTTGCACTCTGTTAAAATTCTATTCTTTTTTACCTTTGTCAACCTGTTACTCTTCCTAATCATCTTGAATTTCTTTTCCAGCTGAAATACTCTACCTTCTTCAAGTCCTACTTTAGATTCTTGTAACAAAAAAATAACCTTTATTCAGGTGGTGAGTATTTGATAAGTCAACAATTAGTTTACTATCGTTATTGAAATCAATTAAAGTACAGTTCCTGAGGCATCCGGTAAGTGACTAGAATTATGGAAGTTTCTTTACGTAAAAACTTTCTAGTTATTTTGTACTGACTGCCGGAAAATTGCTCAGAACAATTTTTTTTGGAATTCTTAAAATTTTGTTTGGATGCTGCAGCTTCGTTGTTTTAAATAATTTTAAAAAAGCTTTAAAACATTGACTGAAGTAGTTCCAAGAATATAACGAGCATTTGGGACAGAAACTTTTTTTTTTGAAACTGTGATGATTTGTTATTTGGCAGAAATTTGTTGTCGTTCGTTAGAACATTTCGAATTATCAACCACAAAATCTTAAAACATACAAGTCAACATTACGTTTACGAGCCTCTCATTACCTGCCATCTTTTAAAAGTTGTTTTGCAATCAAGTAGATTTACTACCTGGTATAATTTTTTTCCAAGAATCTAAAAAGATTCAAAAATTTCTTGAACGATTAACGACCGTAAAGCCTTGAACGGGCGCTAAGGACTTCAGCGATGAATCAGTGATAATACTTAGGTTTCCTCACGTGAGAACACATTTTTGCTTACTGTGTGACATGATTGTTCTTCACTGTTTTTGTTCTGTATGCGCTCAGTTTTCTTAACAATCAGCAATAACTTTTTCTATATACTTTTATGCCAAGAAAGTAGCAAAAATTTATTGTTCTTAACAATAAGAATTAATTCATATATTTACACTACTTTTTGCAGGATGGAGCAAGGCATTTACGACAACGCTGGTACTTCCGAGGCCACAGAGCAGTAACTTTTCTTCATTATTTTATCTTAAAATTTTACATAATGTGGTGTGCTAGCAGCATATTTTTTAAAAATGACGTTTTCTTTTACTAGTGGCAGCTTAAATTACATTTTGTAAGAGAACGATAACTATAAACTGTTTTGTGTCAATAGCCTAATAGTGTCTAGGTAGTACCAGAAAACAAAAACCGATGTAAATGAAGAAGGAAATCAGTTGTAAACTTTTTTGCAGTAAGACCGTAACAGAAAGGAGCAATTTTAAAGCAGTTTATTCACTAGCTGCATTGGTACTCGTTCTTTCTCTGGTCGTATGCATTCTCTCTGGCGTGCTGTTCAACAAAGTCTCCTAAACAGGTTTCGATTGGAATGCAGGCAGAAAAAAAAAAAAAACCACTCTGCAATACTCGCATTTTTCCATTTTACAGTGATTTTTATAATCCTGTTGTTACCAACGAATTATTTTTTGAAATTCTACTTCCACTGCAATGTGATAATTTAAAATTTTATTGCTGACCACAAAATTAAACTGTATATGGCTTCTTGATTTGCAAAATGAAAAGTTTTTATGACTTCAGTAACAGATACCGTAAACTCGGTCTTACATTCGCTACTTGCTAACATTTGCTTAGTCATCAAATGTAGCTCGCATTGTACAAATCAGAAGCATCAAGAAAGCTTAAAATACTTTTACTGTTTTCACCACTCCTATGTAGTCACATGGCTACCAAAAAATTAAATTACAGTGCTACAGTCTTGCTGAGACTTCACATTAGCATAGGAAGAATAAAAATTTTATCAATTTTCGAATACATTAAAAGCTACCAACTGCTCTGGTTTGTGAAATTTATGAAATACGGAAAAACGCTTTAAAAGAAAAATCCAAAATATTCCAGATTTGACAATTTACTGCTGACAACCACTTTTATCCAGCGATTTCTGCTGTTTCATTTCTATGGTGCAGAAGCTCAGCCAAACGCGGATAATGACTGGGTTGACTGTTAAATCGGCAACTCAGAATTTACCTGCTGAAAGTTTTCGCTATTGCGGTAAAACGATCGATCCTAATGATGCTTTTGAGCAATTAAGAACATTTTTTTAAAGATTGTGGATGAGGTTTCTCTGGTGTTTTCATGCGTGTGCACTCAGTGAAAGTGACAGTTTCCACAATTCTTTGGCAAGAAAACCGTATAGTTGCATTGGCTGCCGCTTACTTGTATGCGACCTCTACTATACTAGGAGCACAAAGAGCTTAAACGGTAAGCAGGACCTCAAGGTTGCAGAGGAACTCTGTACTGTTACTTATACTTGCTTATACTACTGCACAAAACCTTCTTACGTTCTTTAACTGCTTTTAAGTTACGACACGTTTGTATTTTTCGCCCGACTCTTGCCGGCTAGATGAAACTAAGCCTGCTGTAGTGCACAGTTCCGCATCTAGTAGCGCGAAATTGCCAACGTCCTGATCCTATCGCCACTTCACACTTCTCCTTCTCTCTCCACCATCACCGAAGCGACTTTTGCGATTTTGGACGACAAAACGACTACTTTGCAGTCACTCGGTCTCTCATCTTTCTAAGCCTTGTGTTTGGATTCTTGGTCCTTCAGCAAAAAAAAATCTTGAAAAATTACGGACAGATATGGAATCGGAGAATTGAAGTTCTAGAAACCTTCTGGCTGTTTCGCTATTGAATGTTTTATCTTGA